AGACCAGAGATCACATTAACATGTGTCTCTGTATTAACAAACATGCCATATTGGCCCAGTTTATTTTTCTTATCATTGTTGTGAGGAGACCATAGAGAGCATTTGTATTTTCAGTTGTATAGTTCATTTGCTGTTATGGATAAAAAGTCTTTTTTTTTGTTTCCAAATAGCTGATAACTATTCACTGATAGCTGCCAACATCTGCGAACACATATAATTCTATAAAGTGGTTCTATATAGTGTGTAACTGTTCATATAGAGCGTTATTAAATTTATTGCTAATGCAGTCATATGGCGCACTGACCTCTGAGGAAATTTTAGATGCACTCGTCATCAGAAAGGTTGCCTACCCCTGGTCTATAACAACTGGGACATGTACCAGCACATCAGGGATGCCAAACCTGCCCAGGATGAGTTTGTTGGGTTTCAGGTTCCTGAGCTAGCCTGAGCTCATCTTTTTAAACAACCCACAGAGCTGTCACTGGTCGCTATGGTGACAGTGTCCAGCAGCAGCCTGTATCACTTTGAATATTTTTATGTCTTTCAGTGTAAAATCTCACTTTTGGGTAACGGCACAAACACTAAGAAACGACAGAGAACATGTCATTATTACAAAGCTGTAGCTTCTGTTTTGCCCACATTTATTGATGATGATTTCACATAACTAAGCAGTGTACTGTACTCTCATCAGTTATTTGGGCTCTTACAATATTTAAGAAAGAGCACAGAGAGGTGGTACGGGTACAGGAAGGACGACGGAGCAAACAGTGAAGTTAGCTGAAAAACAAACGTTATTGTTTATAAAGTAATTGTTCGTGTATTTCAAGGATCTGTGCTTTCTAGTAGCACACTTAAAAAATGCCAGTGCACATTCTAAACAGGAAATATTGATATGAATGGTAACATTTCACAGGATGGCTGCTACACTGATGTGACGGACTACAAGTCTACTCTCCACTCATGAAATTGGGGTACACAATGCTCTGTGCTGAGACTGCATAAAAAGGGAGGGCTGTATTTTATTACAAAACAGCTCTATTACCAATTTGCTTTGTGTGCAGGTCTTTGAAATGAATAATGCTGCTTTTGGTGGACTGGGATGGTCCATATGTCAAATATCAGTGATGTAATATTTAGTTAGCATGGTTTCAAATTGAACACAATAGCTATCTGCAAGTTCAACACCTAAATAAAGCTCATCATACTGATTGTTTGACCTCAGTGTTCAAGCAGATCTTAGCAGAACCAAATAGAAAGAGCAAAGAGCAGATCGAGAGATGGAGAAAAAAAGAGAAAATTATTTGAGCGCTTAAATAAAATTAGCAGCTTTAAAGAGCCTGAGGGCAAAATGGAGTTGTGTCCCTCGTGGCTATGCTTTGAAGAAGGGGAGAATGAATTAAGCTTGACTTGCTCCTCTCCCTCCTCCTCCTCTTCTTTGCTCTCACTTTTAACTCCCTCACTTTTCTTCTGGTTTGCACTAATATGTAGGGTGACATGGAGGGAGAGGGAGGGGGTTGAGGAGATGAACGAGGGGTATAAAAGCAAATGATGAAGGTAAGGGCAGGCTGGAGCACTTCATTGCTGAACAGCTTTTTGGACTCTCTTACACATGTTGTTCTTAAGTTTCACAAATACTTGATTTGTTCCCTTCCTATTTAAGTTCTCTTTTTCCTCCCTCTTATCCTTCTCCGTACAGTTTTTCCCTCATACGTTCTGAGTATCTGAAATTGGGCCCCAGTTGTTGGTGCTTCTACACACAGGACCGGAGCATGAACCCCGGGGCTTTCTCCAGCTCTGGGCCTCTGTCTTGGGCTATGTATCTGATGAGGAAAGGCCGGACAGGCAGCGGACTCTTTGGTAAAGCTGATTCTTCTTCATGTTTGACGTCACCTCGATCACTATCATATCTGCTCTGTTCGTGATTATGTTGTTTTTGTTCTTAACTATTTGTTCTGTTGGGGCTCCTTATTGGGAGGTTTTGCATGACCTAAATCCTCACAGTACAAACAGTTAAACTGAACTGTGCTGCCCATCATCAGATGGCTCTTACCTGTTCCATTTTCTTGTCTAATTCTGTTTCTTGGATTTCTACAAGCATTTGTAGATGGAGTTTCAAGGCTTTTTGAAATTCTGCTGGGTGCTTCAGTTGGTTCTGGCTAAAGGCTACCAAAGTTTGCATTGTCTCAGATCTGCAGCCGTGCCTGTTTATTGATATAAATCATCTAACTTTAAAAGAGAAATAAACAAAAAAACCAGCACAGCTGACTCTGACTGCAGATATCGATCAGTGTCAATCACTATCCTGGACAGGACATATCTCTTTAGTAAACTTGTCCTCCTGCTATTTTAAAGAAGCAGCTTCTGGTTTTCACAAATTTTTTATGTCTAATAAATAATTAGAAAAGGAAAACAGTTGCATGCACACTACTGATCCACACTGTATTTCTATGAAAGATATCAAGCAATGTTAGTATCAATAACGTTGATAGGACACTGTGGCTGAGTATTGATTATAGATCAGAGGGCAGTAAGCAGCTCACATTACAAGATAGTCAGCGGTAAATGCTGGCTTCGTGAAATCCAACTCCACTGCCACTGTCATCACTCTTTCTTTCTTTCTTTCTTTCTTCATCTGTTGTTTTATTTGACTTCTCAGATGTCTACAGAGGACTTTCATTGAAATAGTGTTTAGCAGGCTGCTCTTTGTTTTTTCTTTTATTGTGATGAGCACCAGAACTCTATTTCTGTCTTCAGAGATATACTGTTTCAAACAATCCTTCAGTATTTGGAATATTTAGCAGTTTACTCATAAGAAAAGGAAATGTCACGTTTAAAAAATCTATATTTTAAAACAACTTGTACTTGTACTTGAAGGAAAATAATGGTAAAAAGCTGTGAAGTCAGCCTTTAATAGGTTTAACGTTTTGATTTCTGTTAACTCCTGATGACCTGCACAGTGTGGAAAAACAGGCATGATGTGAAAAATGGATATTTCCAAGAGCAAAGCACACCGTGTCCATCTGGGGCTGGGGCATTTACATTTTTTATTATCCCCCGTTGGCTACAAAGACAGACGGGTGTCTGCGTGGACAGCATGTGTTTCTCAGGCAACACAAAGCTGTATTTAATATAGTTTTATAGTGAAAGGAATCATCGCTACTGTGTGTACAGCATAGGTTTACTCCTGTTTCTGGAAAAACTCCAAGCTGCTGATTCCTGGGGGGGTTTTCTTTGTTTTTGTTTTTTTAATTTTTTTTTTTTTTTGCCTGTCCCGTTTGGCTCTTTTGCCATCAGAATTGTTGTCTAAAGGCAAAGAAAGATGCCCAACGGATTTACTTTACCAAATTGACCATCCCAGCCTTGCCGTAATGGTCCATTTGATTCACCTTTTATTGTTTATTTTATTTTCACTTACTGAATACGGGACAGACTTGACTGGGGGAAAGAAGGGGAGAAAGAAAGAGGGAAAGAGAAACAGCTGAGAAGAGGGACGGGGGAGAAGGGCAAAAGACAAAAACCAACAGAATGAGCAGAAATTTTTATTTCATTTTTTAGTTTTTATTTCCTCCAAAGGAATATTAATGGAAGAGGAAAACAGATATTTGAATTTGGCTTCAAAGCAAACAACTGCAAAATGATTTCAGAGATACGTTCACTTATAAGTTGGTGTGCTGCGGTTTGACATACAGATATACACAGACACAGAGGAACATTAACGTCACGCACACACAAATGAGTGGATCATTTTCTCATTTTTGGATAAAAAAAGAAAGAAAAACATGATTTCCTACACACGTTTTAGTCTTTAAGATTAGAACATAATGTAAAACTGAAACACATGAACTCCCACGTGGTTACTGTGTGACTCTGTAAGTGCTGTTGGAGTTTCAGCAGCAGCTTAAACACAGTTTAGTTCTTCATCATTGAGACTTTTTTTAGTTGAGCAGATAAGTCATAGTTACTTTTTTCATCTGTCAGCTCTTTCCCTGTTGCTGCTTTCTTCCAGAAATGGTTAATAGCTCCATAATAATAACCTTCCTGGTCATCTTCATTTATATAGACTTTACATACAGTACATGCAGAAGACAGAGTGCTGAAATGAACTCAGTATCTAAACCATTTTTTTGTGCATTAAAGTTTTTGTGTGTGCATGAAGACAATGTGCATGTGCAAATGTTGTTCAAATGTGAAATTAATATAATAGCAATATAATAAAAAAGAGCTTTTCCTTCATTTAAAGTTATTTTTGGTGCTTAATTTGTTTTGTGAAATACTTTCCAGTAAAAACTTGAGCGGGATTCAAACTATCCCTGGTCAGTATAGGCAGCAATAACACAGTGTTCACAGTTATGATGATAACATCACAATAATGCAATTTAGTTAGAGGCTGCGAGCATTATAAAACGGTCAGGAGTTCAGAGGTATCATTTATATCAAAGTACTAATGCAGATGTTTGAATGTGTATTCGAACTCTTACTATTAGAAACAGATGAAATCACATGAAAGTGTCATCCATGTGAGTCGGCTCGTTCGGCCTGTGCCGTCTTCATTTAGGATCAGTAACGTGCTTTAGATCACCTGCTGCCCTCTATCGTCTGTATGTGCTACTGACAGCTTGCATATATAAAGCACACAGATTCTCACGCCTCGGTCTGCTGTGGTGAAAAGAATAAGAAAACAAAGATTTGGAGGCATGTGACTCTGACTTTGATCCGCAGTGATGCATTCATATGTCGTTAGTTTGTTATGTGTGGATAACGCACATAACCACACAGTGTCACGCAGGAAGAAGCGCAGCTCTGCCTCCTTGTTTCTCAGCTAAAGCCGCCTCCTTTCGGACGCACAGGATGCTGATTGGTCTTGTGTTTTCGGCGACAGCCTCTAGAACGTGTCCTGATTGGCTGAGAGCAGGTCTTTGCGCAGACGAGATGCAAATCCAGAGCGGTGCCGGTAAAAGGCTGACGCCAAGATCGGAGATGGCCATTCATCTGCAGCGGAAAGGACATAGTAGTTATGATGAAAGCGCTTACTTACCGAAGCAAAATTTGAAATACAGTCAGATACTCTCTCTTTTTTCCCCTCCAACGTCTGCCCATTTCCTTCCACTTTCAGTATGAGCGGAAGTTTGTTCTGCTGAGCTTTGAAGACTACAGAACCCATCTCAAGTCTGCCTTTGACTTCTACTCTGTATGGAGGACGCATCAAACACATCTGAAAGCGTCGGGGACATGTTTGCACGGATTTAAATGTGTCGCGTTTGGTCGGGGTAGTTTGACAGATAAGTACTGGACGACGCGCACACAGGAATCCGCTTCTTGGCCGCAAACAGGAGGAAAGCAGGAGGCTTATAGTGAAAGTCAGCGAGAGGAGACTGTGGACGCACAGATGGTGTTTCCGTGGGACGCCAAATACGGTACGACGTATTATTCTGGTTGTTGTTCACGATAAAGTATGAAGACATGCGCAGAGAACATATTTGTTCTCTTCAGCTGTCACATTAGTTTGACTGACTGAGCTTTTGGAGAAATGGTCTCTGACGGCGCGGTGTTAGTCCGTGGTTTGTCGGTCCGTGTGTGTTTGTGTGTGAGCAGTGATGGTGATATCCATATACTGGAATGTGTGTCATTGTACAACAACGTTGTCATTTACAGGCCTGTAGAAAACTGTAGCTTTATACATAATATAGCACAATCCAGCGTTCGTGTACCGGTTTACTCTGTGACATCCAAATCAGCTCAAACGATCATTGTCAGGTTATTGGTTTGATCCAGTCCACGAGTCAAAGTTTCTTAGATTTAAATATACAACCCCACCTTTTCTCAGTGACTGCGTTCGTGAATGGAAACAGTTATTGTGTGAACTGGTGAATGTGGTTTGTAGTGTTTGTAAAAGGGGAAAAAGTGGAGTCTGAGTTTTGCACTGCTGCCAGAATTCTTCAGAGATTGATGCAAAATGTTAACCATGTGTTGAAGTGTTCATTCTGAACTAACAAATATGTGCTATAATACGAATGAGTGTTACCTGAGCTCACTAGGATCCAAAACTTTGGATTTGACTGAGAAGGTCATCAGGGTGGTCCAGTCTGCATGCCATCCTTGGGCAACATACGAACCCCAGGGTACTCTCTGTGCTCTCAGTGTGAATGTGTGTGAATGTTAGACCAAAAGCGCTTGTATGAAAGGACGTGAATGAGGTGTGTTGTATAAAATACTTTGAAGGCTCCAGATTAGAAATTTAAAAAATCAGATATAAGAATCAGTCAATTTAACATTTAGATACAAATGTAACTATTAGCAAAATAAACGGTCACACCTGTTCACCTGGTTACCTTCTCCTGTGGTTGTGGTGCCCCGACAAGTGTACAACTTAAACATCTCTCAGTCTCACTCTGTGTGTGTGTTTTATAGATCCCAGTTCACACACACCTGTACAGTGAAACAGGTGTGTGTGTGTGTCTTTAACCTGAATAAAAAGCAAGCGTAGTCATAATTTGTCAAACACTATCTATAGAAATCTTTCTAGTCATTACCTACTAATCTACTTACTGATTGATCATAAGTTGTGACAGAATAGTGAAAAAAGTCCTTGTTAGTGCAGACTGGGGGGGAAAGAAAATATCTGTGAGCAAACAGAATCGCTACGTTTTCTTTCTCTGCTGAAATTATTTCTTAAACAATGAACGAAGAGTGAAAATATATTCTCATACTGTTCTGATGATTACGTGATTCAAAGACTATTTTTTCCTGGGTTCTGTCACAGACCCTGCCCCCGGTCGCCGCTATACTCCCCCCTCTACCACCCTCGCCTCGGGGGGGAAGATGGCCGAGGCCCTGCCTCTCGGAGCCCAGGAGGCCGGTGGTGGAGCTGCTATGGTGGGAAAATTGCGAATTGCAGACCACGGCATGGTGGAGGTAGGGCAGCACGGGACTGGTTGCTTATTTCTGTCTTAGACTAAAATAACTGTGCTGCTGTTTTTTCAGGTGATGCCAGATCATCCAGGAGAGCTGGTGAAGACAGACAGTCCCAATTTTCTGTGCTCTGTGTTGCCTACTCACTGGAGGTGTAATAAGACTCTGCCCATTGCTTTTAAGGTGTGTATGTTGTCATTTTAGCACGGGCCGTGCTGTACATCGTAATGGACTGTGCGTACTTAGAGTTCACATACATACCAGGTTTTACTGTCACGTATGCAGTCAGCTCCACCTCTAACCAAGTGATCACGAACCTTTCACCTACTGAAAGTTTCCTGATAATAACATGTAGCATTTTTATATTATTACATCATCATGAGTTCATCTCTCTATTACTTTGATTGCCTTTACTGTTCTTGTCCAACGTGCTGTTCAGTATATTCACTGACAAACAGAGAAAAGCAGCATTTCCTCACATCTGGGAACAAATCTTTGACATTTTGCCTTTAAAAGTTAATTGATGTAAGTGGTCCGGATGATTTACGACTTTAGTGTTTAATGTACCAAATCTAACATTTTGTACATTTTCCAGCATCACTCACAAAGGTCCGTTTTTACAGACCTTTATACTGTCTTACCAGTGGGTCATATGATCCATCCACCCTCAGTGATTTAACACAAGTTTGTTTGTTTTTGCTGCGTTTCCCTCATGTGGATGGTTTTCCTGCACTTTGAGACAAAATGCATTTGTGGAAAAGCGGCTTTTAGCTGCAGAAAACACAGTGGATTGATTTACTGAGTTTTATGCATTAGTGTTTGCGCATACATGTGTGTGTAAGAGAGAGTTTGGTGCATTATGCATCATTATGGAGTGTCATGAGCGGATGTCACTGCCTCTTACTGATAATGGATGACTGTTGAGATGAACACGCACATTTTATGCACACAGCGAAAGACGTGCATCCATATTGTATGTAGCTGATAACACACACTCTGCAGGTATTGTTCTGTATACAGACACACATATTTGCTGGGCTGCTTTTTTGCTGCTGCTCCACAGTCTGCCCGACGGTGAATTTACTGTTTGTTCTTGAATAATTTCTAAACCCAGTGAAATGCTTATTGCAGCCAGTGTGATTCCATCAACTTATCTCATTACTGTGACCGGCACTGGTACTCAGTCTCACACCACTTTAAGTGATTACCAATAGGTGGAAGGTATAATTGTCGTTTTAATACTAGTGTGGCAGTCAGCGCTGGTTGGAGCGCTCTGGGTCACAGACAGAGATGCTCCATAGTACTATATCTGCCCTGCTTATTTGCACAATGATGCTTTGGTGTGATTAGCCACAATATGGAAATCAGCCTGCCTGGCTCTATATTTGTGTAGGTGTGGAAAAGGAGAGTGTGCTTTCTAGTGTGCTGAGCTCTCGTGGAGGGTAAAGCCTAACAGTATGCACAAAAGCTTTATTCAACAACTTTTAGTTAATCATTTGCATCTTTTACTGTCCATGAAGTTCAGTGTAAAACTGCCTCTTTGCCTCTCAGTCAAACCAAGCGTATGGTCAGTTTGAAATTGTGCTAGCCTCTCAGCAATTCAGTCTTTATATATGAACATTAGCTGCTCAGTCACTAATAGATGACTTTTTTGTTGTACTCTACTTTGGATCATCCCACAATCATCCCATCTCATAGGTGTCAAACTCTGGCCCGCGGGCCAAATTTGGCCCGCAACCTAATTACATTTGGCCCGCGAAGCCATACCAAATTACTATTAGAGCTGGCCTACTGGTATTATACAGCTAATATATATATTGTTTAGTATTAAGCTTTGCTTGTTCCATATTCAGTTTTTCAGCAAAACTTATTTGAGTCCATAAGAAAAGATTCATTCTTATATCTGGAGGAAGATTTTTTTTTCAATAAATGTTAATGTTAGCCCGCGACTTTGTTCCAGTTTTGAATTTTGGCCCTCTGTGTATTTGAGTTTGACACCCCTGTCCCATCTGCATAATCAGGAGTTTTGCACTCCTGCTTTGCATGGACTGACATTTGGTGCAAAGTAGCATCAGGTGTGTAAAAACCTCTGTGGGACGTGTGCACTGAAAAATGGCACCGAACAGGTTGGATACAAAGATGTTCTGAAAACCTCAAACTTGGATTAAACCCTCACGCAGACACAGCGCACACTCGTGCTTTTCTCTTGTTTGTGCCATGTCACTAGGTGGTTGCCCTGGGCGACATTCCAGATGGCACCTTGGTTACAGTGATGGCAGGAAATGATGAGAATTACTCAGCAGAGCTTCGCAATGCGACAGCTGCAATCAAGAACCAAGTGGCCAGATTCAACGACCTCCGCTTTGTGGGCCGCAGCGGTAGAGGTACGCACAGACACGCAAATACATACATGGAAATGTGAATGCAGATTTACTGTACAGTGTAAAAGTTGTACAGTGTGAAATTAGCAGGCACCAGTTTATTAGTATGAGTGACATTAGTCAGAAGAGTTTCACCTTTAAATCTTCCACAGGTTGAAAATTAATAGACATGTTTTGTACAAGCATACAGCATTAAATTAGGGGAAGTACATGTGAATAAAAACAGCATTCACACAACTTCCTCCTAATATCCCATCCAGTGTCTGCCTCTTTCTTTCTCCCTCTCTTTTTAACGGACACACAAGCACAGTTACTCTAAATCAGGCACAGGCAAATGTCCCTACTTATCTATTTAAAACACCAGTCTTGTGTACACAAACCCTGCTAACATACAGACACACACAATATTGATAAATCCTCCCCCAGCCAAAAGAAATTGGTATAACTGTCAATATTTTATCAGCTGTGCAGACCTTAAGTTGAAAAAATGAGCATATTAATATTTCAAGTGCAGCAGAATTCAAATGAAGAAGAGTGAGGAGTCTAAATTTGTTTCATGCAAATTTAACAGCACAGAATACAATGGGACCATTTTCTCTCCCAGCAGTATTTTAAGATAGTGTTTTTGTAATGTTGACTTACAGCTGGAAGACTGTAGTTGCATCTGTCTGTAAAACAGTGTCTGACCCAAACTGCTGTGACACGCAGTGCTTTGTTCTCTGTGCGTCTATTTCTTATTAATGCGTTTCATGATAAGGTGACAGGAACAACACGCAGGAAGGACGCAAATCATTTACACACACATGTGTAAGACGTACAGATGTGACGGAGACGATACAAACCTGCACAAATGTCACTTTCATTTCCACTAAATGGCCAAAAGTTAAATTGGAAATTGGTGAAAAATTTGTTACAGACTTGGTAACAAAACTGGTGGTTCGTGGATCAGTTCTCAGAATGCAATTATTGGACTCTGTCTGGAAAAATAAAGCAGTCAATATGGAAATAATCTGGTGAAAAATCTGGACCTTGCTTCTTCATTTTTGAATAAATGTAGAGGAGACAGGTGCATACAATATGCCTTGTGCAGTAAATACATATTTTATTTCTTACCGTTTTCTATATGTGTAAAATCACATCTCACCGTGTTTCTGTTTGCTTTTGATAAACCTGTACACTCATGGATTCAAGTCAAGATCATTTTTTGTGCAGATGTCATCATCTCATGCTCACTCAATCAAAGCCTGATTTCGTTTATTCACGAGTGCTGCCTTCGCTTTGCACAGAGCTGTTCTGACTTTAGAACGTTTGCCTCGCTAACCTGTATTTCTTCTTTGTTTATGCTTTCTGATGACTTTTCAGTCCCCTCGTAGGGACCAAAATCCACGTCCCCACGAGGTTCAGGCGTTTTTCACACTCAAAATGTGGTTTTAGTGTCATGGTTACAATTAGGTTATGGTTATGTTTAGGGCTAGGCATTTTTGATGGTTAGGGTAACCGGCTCAGGAAAGCATTATGCCAATGAGATGTCCCCATGAGAATAGCAAACCAGACGTGTGTGTGTGTGTGTGTGTGTGTGTGTGTGTGTGTGTGTGTGTGTGTGTGTGTGTGGCCATATATCGTGAAATACAGAAATCATGGTCTTGAAAGAGGAACTGAGAAAAAGACTGAAAATTGGTTACATATATGTGCACACACACACACACACACACACACACACACACACACACACACACACACACACACTCTGTGTATATTTAACTGAGTGACTGCAGAGAAAACATTTGTTAAGACGCACACAGGCTCTTTGTTATCTGTTAATGTAGTGTGTGTGTGTGTGCATGCATGTAACTCTTTTTGTAAACAAGGGAACAGAAATGCTGTTATACATTTTTCATTCATGATGTGCTTTTCCTTTGCTTATATAGAGCAGAGAAAACACTGTGTGTAGACCAGGATCACGATCTCTTTCTGTTGGTTGCACAAAGACAGCAGAGACACACTGATGTCAGCTGCCATCTAGTGGCCATTAATACAGCTGAGAATGGCATGTGTTAATCGTTAGTGTTTCCTATAGAAGGGTTCTAGACAACTTAAACTGTTATTCAGTTCTGAGCTTTGTATAGCACTATATATGTTATATAATATATGACTACGTTTCATGTATCATAATTTAAGACAATGAGAGGAGACAGAAAGGGAGAGGGAAATGAGAGTAACACCCGACACACAACAGCAGTGGGGCTCTGCCATGTGCAGTGTTTACATCTAGCACAGTGTTAAGTGACTGCTACTTCACACAGACACAGAGATAGTCCTATTAATGTGTGGTACATACACTCATATCTCTTAGATATGACCGCAGTTAAACACTGGTTTGTGATTGGCTGGCAGGTGTCTATTAGAAATGGGACACAGTAGTTTTCTAAATAAGTAATTAGGCTACATCCAAAGCCAAACTTTAAGTCACTCAAAAAAGTATTTGTCATTTAAATGATCAAACCTTTACAAAAACTTGTTTTTATAACATTTAAGGTAAAGCAGAGAATTTCGTTTATAAATGAAAGACAGTTTTTTAGTTTTTCTCTCATTTTTTAAAAATATCTACTTGAAAAGATTGACTGCAGATATGTGCGAATAGCTTCATAATACCTTGTAATATTCATGATTACAGGTAACATTCTGTATTATTGTAGAATATGTAATATTCTACATTTGAATTGTTAACTTTGTCTATGACCACAAGTTTGCATGAAAAAACATTTTCATGTACACCATCCTTTTTTCTTTGCTCCACAATCTCAGGAATCAAGTCACATCCAGCAAAGGACAAAGTAATAGTTTTTTATTCTCATACATATTGTTTGCTTTTCAAAAACTTTTTTACTTTCAGTACTTTTTGTATATCACACTCAGAAGCTGGAATAAAGTTTACATATCGACCATTACCAATAAAAACCAAATGCAATGTAATTTCCAGGATTACTATATAGAAAGAGCCAGAACCCCCACAAAGCACCTCAGCACTCAATGTCTTTATCCACCCTGAAACACTGTTGACAGTGTTCACTAACATTTTCAACACCTCAATGCAGATATGTCATGTGCCAGCCTGCTTCAAGGCTGCCAATATCATTCCTGTTCTGAAAAACAATGATCACAAGCCTTAATGACTACAGACCTGTCGCTCTCACCTTTGCCTGTCCCATCTACAGTCAATGATTGACCCCCTCTCTCTTGAACTCCCTGTGTTTTGCGTACAGAGCCAACAGATCAGTAGGTGATGTAGTTAGCATGGCACTAGACTTCATCATCCAGCATCTGAACTCTGCAGGAACTATAATGGTTTTGTGGACTGTAATTCTGCTTTGAATACAATCATGCTGTAGGACAAGCTCCCCCACAAGCACCCCCACAAACATCTTCCTTGGTTCCTTATACATATACATATATATTGGCCGGTAATTGAATGGGAATGGCGCAGGACCCAACCAGGCCCGTTAGAGGACCCGAGCCTGAATCCTTTCCCCCCCGAGACCTAGCCTTCTCACACATATATATATATATGTATATATATGTGTGAGATATATACATATATATACATATATACATATAAAAAACACCCAGCACGCCCCTGCGGGCGGTTTATCCTTCAAGCTCGGGTCCTCTACCAGAGGCCTGGGAGCTTGAGGGTCCTGCGCAGTATCTTAGCTGTTCCCAGGACTGCGCTCTTCTGGACAGAGATCTCCGATGTTGTTCCCGGGATCTGCTGGAGCCACTCGCCTAGCTTGGGAGTCACCGCACCTAGTGCTCCGATTACCACGGGGACCACCGTTACCTTCACCCTCCACATCCTCTCGAGCTCTTCTCTGAGCCCTTGGTATTTCTCCAGCTTCTCGTGTTCCTTCTTCCTGATATTGCTGTCATTCGGAACCACTACATCGATCACTACGGCCGTCTTCTTCTGTTTGTCTACCACCACTATGTCCGGTTGGTTAGCCACCACCATTTTGTCCGTCTGTATCTGGAAGTCCCACAGGATCTTAGCTCGGTCATTCTCCACCACCCTTGGGGGCATCTCCCATTTTGACCTCGGGACTTCCAGGTTATACTCGGCACAGATGTTCCTGTACACTATGCCGGCCACTTGGTTATGGCGTTCCATGTATGCCTTGCCTGCTAGCATCTTGCACCCTGCTGTTATGTGCTGGATTGTCTCTGGGGCATCTTTACACAGCCTGCACCTGGGGTCTTGCCTGGTGTGATAGACCCCAGCCTCTATGGATCTTGTGCTCAGAGCTTGTTCTTGTGCTGCCATGATTAGTGCCTCTGTGCTGTCTTTCAGTCCAGCTTTGTCCAGCCACTGGTAGGACTTCTGGATATCAGCCACCTCCTCTATCTGCCGGTGATACATACCGTGCAGGGGCCTGTCCTCCCATGATGGTTCCTCGTCTCCCTCCTCTTTCTTGGGTTTCTGCTGCCTGAGGTATTCACTGAGCACTCGGTCAGTTGCGGCCATCTTCCCAATGTATTGTCTCATCCTGGACTGTGGTGCTGACACTCACCAGTCCCCGGCCCCCTTCCTTCTGCTTAGTGTGCAGCCTCAGGGTGCTGGACTTGGGGTGAAACCCTCCATGCATGGTAAGGAGCTTTCTTGTCTTTATGTCAGTGGCTTCTATCTCCTCCTTTGGCCAGCCTATTACCCCAGCAGGGTACCTGATCACGGGCAGGGCGTACGTGTTGATAGCCCGGATCTTGTTCTTACCATTCAGCTGACTCCTCAGGACTTGCCTGACCCTCTGCAGGTACTTGGTGGTTGCAGCTTTTCTAGCGGCCTCTTTATGGTTCCCATTTGCCTGCAGGATCCCCAGGTACTTGTAACTCTATGTCTGCAATGTTGCCTTCTGGTAGTTCAATCCCCTCAGTTCTGACTACCTTCCCTCTCTTTGTTACCATCTGACTACACTTCTCCAGTCCAAACGACATTCCAATGTCATTGCTGTATATCCTGGTGGTGTGGATCAGTGAATCGATGTCTCGTTCACTCTTGGCATACAGCTTGATGTCATCCATGTACAGGAGGTGGCTGACAACTGCTCCGTTCCGTAGTCGGTATCCGTAGCCAGTCTTGTTAATGATCTCACTGAGGGGGTTCAGGCCTATGCAGAACAGCAGTGGGGACAGAGCATCTCCTTGGTAGATCCCGCACTTGATGGTGACTTGTGCTATGGGCTTGGAGTTTGCCTCTAGTGTTGTGTGCCACATCCCCATTGAGTTCCTGATGAAGGCTCTTAGGGTCCCATTGATCTATACAATTCTAGGCATTCCAGTATCCAGCTGTGGGGCATTGAGTCATAGGCCTTCTTGTAATCAATCCAGGCCGTGCACAGGTTGGTCAGTCTATATATATATATATATATATATATATATATATATATATATATATATATATATATATATATATATGTGTATATATATATATATATATATATATGTGTATATATATATATATATATATATATGTGTATATATATATATATATATATATATATATATATATATATTCAGGGCTCTAGAGTGCGACCAATTTGGTTGCAAATGCAACCAAATTTTTCAGTGGTGCGACTAAAAAAAAATATTTGGTTGCACCTGTGCGACCAACTGTTCGGGTAGCAAAAAAAATAAAAATCTGCAACCTTCCCTGTGGTCAACAACAGACACACATTATGCCCCTATCGTGGACTAAACCAATCAGAGATAGTAAGGGGCGGGACCTCTCTGATTGGCCGTGGTCCAGTTGAAAGTGCAGGTGGAAGTGGGAGGTGAATAGCTTGAATAAAGCCATATCAATTCATTAAATCCTGAATCTACTTTTAAATATAACTGTGTTTTGCCAGAAACACCAGATTCTCAGATTAAAGCTCACCAAACCATTTCAACAACAACCAAACAGCAAATGAGAGCAGGTACACGGATTCCACACAAAGACGTAAACACAGAGCGGACCGACGCATCAGAATCAACTTTCTTTCTCGGCTTTCTCACCCGACGGCCCGTAGACGGACATGCTGTCGGAGCTCAGGGATTCTGATGCGTCCAGTACGCGTTGTGTTTACATCTTTTTGCGCTGATTCTGAGCTGCAGGTTTTGTCTCTCTCCAACCAAAATTCACCGAGCCAGCACCAAAAGAAGCAGCAAACTGCATTTCACATTTGATCAATGTCGTCATGAATTTTGCTGTTTTGCTTCCACGACTATTAAAATCACACTTCATGCACAGCTAGCTCTCTCTATCGCTCTCTGTACTTCAAGAACAGTTTCCTGTCTCCAATCTCTGTTTTCTGTATTATTCTTTCGCTTATTACCCACCAGTCTACCGTTGTTTACAGCGCTGTGGCTGCTGTCTTTTTTTTTTCTTTTTCTTTTTTTCACTTAAATGACCTCGGACAAGAAAGCCTATTTTTTCTGTTGTTCAATACTGAAGAAATTTAAACTTTATATGCAGAACATTGTAGAATATTTTTAAGGTTATCTGCTATAAAAAGCCAGACCAGGAAAATCTCCTTCATGTTTTTCTGTGTTTTATTCTCAGTTACTTTCACACAAAGGCATCTGCTGTGATGTTCACAATTCTGATAAAGTCAGTACTGATAAATGATCAGAATTATAATATTTCTCACTGTCTGAGGCTAAGTTGAATCGAATCGGGACTTTGAAAACTGGAATCGAATGGATTATAGGAATAGGAAAAGAACTATTGCTAACTTTTCTGTTAAGGCCTGATCCTTCTGAAATTCATAGCCAGTGCTCTGACACGGTGTCATCAATCTTTGAATGCTGAAAAAGCACAGTGTATCCAGAAAAACACATTATATTATATAAATTATTATAAAATTTGTGTGCACCTAACTTTTGTGCCAGTACGCCTAACTTTAAAAAGTTAGGCGTACTGGCACAAAAGTTAGGTGCAGTACGCCTAACTTTTTAAAGTTAGGCGTACCGGTATGCCCATGGCAAAAAGTTAGTCTAGAGCCCTGTATATATATATATATATATATACATATGTTGTATAAAGGTTTTGCCCTGTGATTTTTGTCCATTCCCTTTCTCTCGTCATCTCTCTCTTTTCACCCTCCTTTTTCTCCCTTTCTTGTGTTTTCATAGGGAAAAGTTTCACACTGACCATCACAGTATTCACCAACCCTCCACAGGTGGCCACATACCAAAGAGCCATTAAAATCACAGTGGATGGTCCCAGAGAGCCGCGGCGTGAGTACTACTGACATACAAATGTTCACATTTTCCTCCTAGGCAAACGCTAACCTGGTGTTAAATACAGTTCGCTTGTAGATCAAATCAAATTACAAAAATACATATGCTTGTGGTCAGAAGTTTACGTACAGTCATGATGGGCATGAATGTCATGGTAATTTGGGGGTTTTAGTGAGGTTTAAATTGCTCTTTTTTCAAAGTGGAATGATTGTATATGTATATATTTATTTTCATTTCATTTTCATTTTTCATTTTATTTATAAAGCATCAGATCACCACAGCTGCCTCAAGGTGACTAAAAATGAGGAATTGGGTGAACAAGTTTGACTTCATTTTGGATTTTCTAGGATCTACACAGGCTGGTTAAATTGTTTCCTTTCCTGGCATGGATCCGGTTAAATGTTGTCCTTTGGGAAGCTTTGGGAAGGGCATTGCAGAATCTTTATGTTAGCCTGCTTTATCCATTACAAAACCAGTTTAATGTATCTTTGTTATCTTTGAGATTATTATCCTGTTAAATATATTGTTGTTTAAAAGTTTTAACCATCTCGCTGTTGACTGAAGTTAAAGAATTTGGAGGTCATCCTCCTCCTTCATCACTAGGAGAATAACAGCCCCAGAGCTTAACACTACCATCTCCATGCTTGACAGTTGGTACAGTGTTATTAGGCCTGAATGTTTCAGACTTACACCTAGAAAAATTACCTCTGGACACCTTGGCCAAATAGCTCAGCTTTTCTCTTGTATATCTCTTTCTTCTTCTTTTCTTCTTCTCTTGTAAATATTTAGTTTTAGCCACGCTTGAAGGCCTTGATTTTGGAATAGGGGTTGACAGTCGATGGTGACACTAGTGTTCATAGTCCATGCCAGGATTGATCCTTGATCAATACTGCATTTTTGTTTATAAATGGTTCCAAAAGACCTTCGCAATTTGTGTTAATCTATAGTTCTCCTTAGATCTTCACTGAGTTTGTCGTTCCCCAGTTCCATGGTTCTGAGTATTGGTCAATCCAACAAGCGCTGTCGAGCAAACTCTTTTTATGCCACACAAGTTCTAATTGCTAACATGAAGTTAATAGAGCTTGGCCTTTAAAACATGAACCAGGGCTCTAGAGTGCGACCAATTTGGTCACAAATGCGACCAAATTTTTCGATGGTGCGACTAAAAAAAATCGTAGGTCGCACCGGTGCGACCAAATGTTCGGGTAACAAGAAAAAATCTCTGCAACTCTGAAAGTCTCCATGTGGTCAACAACAGACACATATTATGCCCCTATCGTGGACTAAACCAATTAGAGATAGTCAGGGGCGGGACCACTCTGATTGGCCGTGGTCTAGTTGAAAGTGCAGGTGGATAGAGAGAGATGAGTAGCTTGAATGAAGCGATATCGATTCATTAAATCCACTTTTAAATATAACCGTGTTTTGCCAGAAACGCCAGATTCCCAGATTAAAGTTCACAAAACAATTTCAACAACCACCAAACAGTAAATGGACACGGACACGCCATCGGGGCTGAAAGCCGACAGCTCGCTGACTCTGATGCGTCGGGTCCGCGCTGTGTTTATGTCTTTTTGCGCTGATTCTGAGCTGCAGGTTTTGTCTCTCCAACCAAAATTCACCGAGCCAGCAGCAAAAGAAGATCCAAACTACGCTTCACATTTGATCAATGTCGTCATGAATTCCCTCTTACTATTGCTGTTTTGCTTCCACCACGATAAAAATCACTTCATGCACAACTCTCTCTCTCAGTGTACTTCAAGAACAGTTTCCCATCTCAAATCTCTGTTTTCTGCATTATTCTTTCGCTTATTACCCACCAGTCTACCGTTGTTTACAGCGCTGTCGGCCACTTTTTCTTTTTTCTTTTTTACTTAACGACCTTGGATAAGAAAGCCTAGTTTCTGCAGTTCTATACTGAAGAAATTTTAACTTTTTTAAATCTATGCAAAATTGCAGAATATTGCAGAATATTTTTAAGGTTATCTGCTATAAAAGTCCAGGTCAGGAAAATCTCCTTCATGTTCTTCTGTGTTTTACTCTCAGTTACTTTCACACAAAGGCATCTGCTGTGATGTTCACACCTCTGATAAAGTCAGTACTGATAAATGATCAGAATTATAATATTTCTCACTGTCTGAGGCAAAATTGAATCGAATCAGGATTTGTGAATCGGAATTGAATGGATTATAGAAATCAGTGATGATACCCAGCCCTAGTGAGCAGCCTAGGCCTGACAGAAGTGGATGTAGCTGTGGGGAATAAGAAAAGATGAAAATAACTATTGATAACTTTTCTGTTAAGGCCTGATCCTTCTGAAATTCATAGCCAGTGCTCTGACACAGTGCCATCAATCTTTGAATGCTGAAAAAGCACAGTGTATCCAGAAAACACATTATATGTCGTCATAAATGCACTGCCCAAGTGTTCCCTCTACCACTGCCTTTCAGCGGCAGGCAGCAGCAAACAGGTCGTCAGAGGAGGTCGAGATGATGATTAAGTTGAACATTTTCTACAATATTGCCAAAGAGTGCCAAAGCACTTTAAGCACAAAATTGTTAGTTAATCATTTACAAATGAATACTGTCTATATGGACTGCAATTTCCCCCCCCCAAAAAGTGCACATGTAAAACTGTGGTGTTAAGCGATGCAGTTGAAAAATTTGAGTGCACCTAACTTTTGTGCTGATGCGCCTAAGAAAAAAAGTTAGGCGTACCAGTGCAACCATGGCGAAAAGTTAGTCTAGAGCCCTGTGAACTGTCAGAATCATCTTTGAACCTGTGAGCAGAGAAAATCCCAAATAAAGTCAAACTTGATAACCCACCTCTCATTTTTTTAAATCACTAAAAATGCATGCAGTGCAATCATTCCACTTTTGAAAAAAAAACAATTAAAAGAATTATTAAAAGCAAAGAATTACCATGACATTCATGTCCAAGTGAAGTACAAACGGACTGCAAAAAAAATTGAGACACTAAACAAATTGTGAATAAAACCTGAATGCAATGATGTGGAGATGGCAAATGTCAATATTTTATTCAGAGTAGAACGTAGATGACAGATCAAAAGTTTAATCCAAGAAAATGTTTCATTTGAAAGGAAAAATATGTTGATTCAAAATTACACGGTGTCAACAAATCCCAAAAAAGTTGGGACAAGTAGCAATAAGAGGCTGGAAAAAGTAAATTTGACCATAACGAAGAGCTGGAAGACCAATTAACACTAATTAGGTTAATTGGCAACATGATTGGGTATAAAAAGAGCTTCTCAAAGTGGCAGTGTCTCTCAGAAGCCAAGATGGGTAGAGGATCACCAATTCCCACAATGTTGCGCAGAAAGATAGTGGAGCAATATCAGAAAGGTGTTACCCAGCGAAAAATTGCAAAGACTTTGCAGTTATCATCATCAACTGTGCATAACATCATCCGAAGATTCAGAGAATCTGGAACAATCTCTGTGCGTGAGGATCAAGGGCGTAAACCCATACTGGATGCCCGCGATCTCCGGGCCCTTAAACGACACTGCACCACAAACAGGAATGCTACTGTAAAGGAAATCACCGAATGGGCTCAGGAATACTTCCAGAAACCATCGTCAATGAACACAATCCACCGTGCCATCCGCGCTGCCAGCTGAAACTCTACAGTGCAAAGAAGAAGCCATTTCTAAGCAAGATCCACAAGCTCAGGCGTTTTCACTGGGATCATTTAAACTGGAGTGTGGCAAAATGGAAGACTGTTCTGTGGTCAGACGAGTCACGATTCGAAGTTCTTTTTGGAAATGTGGGACGCCATGTCATTCGGACCAAAGAGGACAAGGACAACCCAAGTTGTTATCAACGCTCAGTTCAGAAGCCCGCATCTCTGATGGTATGCATGAGTGCGTGTGGCATGGACAGCTTGCATGTCTAGAAAGGCACCATCAATGCAAAAAAAATACATTCAGGTTCTAGAACAACGTGCTCCCATCCAGACGTCATCTCTTTCAAGGAAGACCCTGCGTTTTTCAACAAGATAATGCCAGACCACATTCTGCATCAATCACAACATCATGGCTGCGTAGGAGAAGGATCCTGAAATGGCCAGTCTGCAGTCCAGATCTTTCACCTATAGAGAACATTTGGCGCATCATAAAGAGGAAGGTGCGACAAAGAAGGCCCAAGACGATTGAACAGTTAGAGGCCTGTATTAGACAAGAATGGGAGAGCATTCCTGTTTCTAAACTTGAGAAACTGGTCTCCACGGTCCCCAGACGTCTGTAGAGTGTTGTAAGAAGAAGGGGAGATGCCACACAGTGGTGAAAATGGCCTTGTCCCAACTTTTTGGGGATTTGTTGACACCATGACATTTTGTATCACCATATTGTTCCCTTAAAATGATAAATTTTCTCAGTTTCAACTTTTGTTCCGTGATTTATGTTCTGAAGAAAATATTGACATTTGCCATCTCCACATCGTTGCATTCAGTTTTTATTCACAATTTGTTTAGTGTCCCAACTTTTTTGGAATCCGGTTTGTATTTTGGCATTGTTTATTGGGCTCGCAGAACAAGGCATGGTAATAATAAATGAACCTGAAAACTAAAAAACAAACTTCTGATGTGCCATTGTTTAAAGGGTTTCCTTTTAACAACACATTAGACTCACCAATAATAAACAACTTTTTTTTATTTAGTTTATTACAAAAGGTCGACCTACCAAATGTAAGACCTTTTTACTGTATTTGGTGCTAGGCTGCATTTATATCATGCCATTTTAATTGTCCCGACTCAACAACAGCTGACCTACATCAACTGCAATTTGCACATTAGTACACTTTGCACACTAACTTTATTTTGCACATTGAGCTCCTTTGTACATCCATTTACATCTGCATACCTCACTTGTCTTCACTTACTTATTTTTGTACTTATTTATTTAACTTTCACTATTTTTATCCTTATTTTTATCTTTATATATCCAATATCTTGTCTTATTGTTATCCTTGTTTATCTTGTTCCTCCAACCCTACCTACTAGGCATTTGTGTATGGACAGCAAAGGAAGAATTTCATTGCACAGAGAAATGCTATTTCTTCTGTACACATGACAATAAACACTTTGAATTATACTAATATCATTAACAAATTCTTAGGATACTGTGTTTTATTTAATGTCATTATTTCATCAATTTTATTTTATTTTGTGAACTGCATACTCAATGAAGACGCACCCCTGCAGACAAACTTTCAATTGAGTGTTTTCATAAGGGGAACCTGATGCAACACTTACTTCCTCTCCCACTGAGTATGATGAAACATGGGGATTTCTTTAGGCTTACGAATGGGAGAAGAAAGAAGATAGACGTGTTTCTTCTAATAAATGCTAATAAGTGTCATTAAAATAACATTAGTCCACTTCACTTCCATATGACATGAACAAAGTGAAACTGGTCAGAACAAGAGGAGAAGTAACAAAACAACAGGAGCACTTGTCAAATCTGCTTAGCTGTGAATACCCATCACTCGTCTATAACTCACCCATGCACACACAGTATAAATACACAAATGCACACTTCCCTTGTTGTGAGGAAGTGCCTGTAACTGGAGCTCAGTATCAGAGCTTTAAAGTGCAGCCACACACACACACACAGTGTAATCACATCACAAGCATGGAGTGCTTTGCTGACAACTCAATAAATTTCAGGAATTTTGAGCTCAGGAGTGATACTTGAAATTCTAACGATTTCCTCTTAACTTTCTGCCTCAGGTCATCGTCAGAAGATGGACGAAGTCAAACCAGGCTCCCTGGCTTTCTCTGAGAGGCTAACAGAACTGGAACAGCTGAGAAGGAGCTCCATGAGGGTGACACCTCCTCATCACCATCATCAATCGTCAGCCAACAGTCGCCAACCTCCAACTCTCAACTCTGCCGCTTTCTCCAGCCCCACGCACACTCAGATAACTCCTGGTAAGGATGTTTATGTCCTTCAAATCAGTCACTCATGTTCCTACCTGTCCACAACTGTACAACTGTTATATATATCACCATTTTCATTAACTGATGCCCCTTTAATGTGGATCCATATCCATGACAGTCATCCAGCTTTCCTGATGTAGGTGTAAAGGATATAGTAGCTGTTTTTCAACCAGACCCAGGTTCATTGTACTATGTGTCAGTGTTAAATAGCAAGTTCGAAGGTGAGATGAAGTTGTTATCACCATGGGCAGAGAAATGACCATCAACGATTGTGAAGTGGGTCTGGGTTTATTTCACGTTAGATCAAAGGAAAGACACACATGAACTTCTCAACTCTTCAAAAGAAAACTAAGTTGGATCCAAGTGGGTCACTACATCCAGGTCTTCACACTGTATATACTGGTTTGAAAATAGGGATTGTCCTTTGTCTCTTTCTGAAGCTCCATGCAAGATCTTGCTCATTCGATCAGTTCCTAATATTTAAATTTACAGTAATGGATTACACAGTAGTGGGAATACATTTCATTACAGCAGAGTGTCTTTTGGAAAGTGCTGTAACTAAATTTAAGGACATAATTCCTCTACTTTTACACTTTTCAATACCATGTGCCAAAACAGTACAAAGCAGCTATCTAAAGTCTACTGTGGCAGAAGTTGATTATCTTGCTGTTACATTCATACTGCAAAGTGACGTGCAAGGGACGACACAGCCATGAGGGACAATGCGAACAGTAACAGAACCAAAAGCAGATCTAAAAAAAGCAGATAATGAGGGAGTTGGCCTGGCCAAGAGGTTAGTCTTAAAGGCTGCAGCAGCTTGAGTGGCTGGTTTGGCCATAAGGCAAGGTCTACAGGCAGGCATTGAGGAGGTCTGCCTTGGAGGCCAACAATTTAGAAAGGAATTGAGGGGGCATCATGGGTGACAGTGTTTGAGGAGATGTGGCCAATCCAGTTATATGGCAGGAGGCTATTTTTTACTCCGGCGATGATTTATTGGACGCCAACTGTGGTGTCAGAAACCTTTGAGCGACAGGACTGGGGGCTGACAATGGTGGCAAAGACTGGATTCCAGCGACTGCAGCAGAGCCTCTCCGGTGGTTTGGATGGAGGACAGCATCGAAGGAAGCTCTCAGATGGCTGTAAGGTGATTAGAGTGACAGACTCCCTTAAGCTGGGTTGGAGGTCCACATAGGCAGTGGAGTTGACAGACCCCATCAGATGGCTGTACCGGACACACCGGGGATCGGTGAAGGTGGAGTCAATGGAACACCTCTGGAGGCTTGGTAGGGGACCAGCATTGGCGAAGGCGACGGATACTTGGTCCAGATGACGCTCGTTAATGCATCAATGCATTAACGAGCTAGCCGCGCCAACACGTTCACGCCATACAGCCCTCGCACGAGGCGATCTGCGTTAACTAACGGGGATTTGGGCTGATGAGTCCAAATTTGTCTACAGGAAATCATACTATCCAGGGAGAACACGAACAAAGATCAAAGGGAGACTCGGACACAATATTGGACGGTTGTTAGGGAAGTGGGGACAGCTGGGAACACATCAGGGACAAATCAGGAGTAACAAGACAGGGGAAGCAAAACTGAATATGCCACACACAGGACAAGTGAATAAAACTGGAAGTAGCACTGAGACCAAGACTAAGAAACAAGCTTGACACAGGGACAGAAGACAAATCATGGAGACAAGACCAAGGGAAGAGAATGGGAACACGAAGAGAAACTATAACTGCTAACCAACTAAAGGCACAGATGACAGGAATAATCCAAAACCCATAGACAGAAATAAGAACCAAGAATAATCATAAAAACAAGACAACCACCAAAAATGCCAAAGCTCAAAATCCTCGATCAGCAACCCAGGAAAAGAAGGAAAAGAAAAGCTAGTCCATTTAACTCAGCTTCTAGTGATAACAGGCATTTGTGTGTCATTTATCTTCTTGTGGCTTTAGTTAATGAGATCTGTTATCTTCTCCATGGATGCTCTATGTTGTACCGAAAGAAAGTATTTGTTTCTCCTCATCTTCAGTGGAGGTGACACAGAATGTCAGTTCCTACTAATGTGTGCATTTACATATATCTGTGTGTGTGTGTGTGTGTGTGTGTGTGTGTGTGTGTGTGTGTGTGTGTGTGTGTGTGTGTGTGTGTGTGTGTGAGGACACAACTGGCAACTTAAGGAGGAAATGAGAGTCAGCTAGCAGGAAGTGCTACTGTGAGAAAAAATTTTTTGTATGTAACTGTCACAAACTAAAAAGAAAAAGCTCGCATACTACAGCTGCCATATGTAGCTTAAATGCCCCTTCCAGCTGAAACAGTTCAGAAGTGAATCAACTGAACTGTTTTTGTGCTGTTTAAAAATATGTTAAAAGGAATAAAACTCAAAGTAAAATTCCAGATAACTAAGCAGCCAAACATCATAACATTGCTCAAACGAACCTGTTTTAAGGAACCTTAAGTTCAAATACGCAAAGAAATATATATACATTTGTTGGATTCCTGTTATAACATTCTTACTACCTTTAAAACGACTGTACTGTAGCATGGCATGGAGGCATGGAGGTAATGTGACTGTGGTGGATGATTGCTTTCTATGAACAGTTTGATATTTCTTTCATGTATTTTCAAGCTGTGATGATGAGCGGAGATGTAAAGTAGCAGAAGAGGTGTGTGTACACTGAGTGAAAAAGAAACAGAGGTGATCTCTAAGTGCTTCCTACTGTCATGGACCCTGTTAAAATGAAGAAAAAAATCAACGTTCAGCAGTTAACTTACTTTTTCCTCGCCCTTTCTTCTCTGAACAACCTGTCGCTCTCACTAACCCCACCAAGCGTTCATTTCTAATTTGTCTTCCTTTCTTTCACATCTATAATTTCTCCATGCTGTGAATAAACAAACATGCACGTAGCTGTATCTCCGTTACATTTGAAATGGCAGCTTATTACACATTTGTGTTGTTGGCTCTCTCTGCGCTATTGTATCACTTCCAGTTCCTGTTAAATGCACAGTGGTATTTTGTGTAGCCAATTTAATTTAAACCTTCAGATAATGACTTATCACATAGTTTCATCTTTACGTGCCTTATCCAAAGCACACGCCACTGAACCAGCTGATAAGTTTCTAGTATTCATTCATTTTGTCTTTAGGTATTCGCTACCTTAGCTCATAGCCAAGTCACTGGCAGCGTGGCTTCTTTACTTGTCCCTCCCACATTTTCCTGCTCAGCATGTCAGACATATAGCTACTCTTCAGCATCCTTTACAAATATTTGTGAGAAATGTAGCCTATTTGCAGCTCTGGAGGCCAGGCTTAGTGAATTGGAAACGCGACTCCGCAACCTGGGAAATCCTTAACATAGTGTACACTGTTAAGTGCCAGGAGGATTGCCAGGATTTATACATGGGGGAAACCAAACAACCTCTGGTGAAGCGGATGGCACAAAACAGAACAGCTGTGGGGTGGCTGTGGCTCAGGTGGTAGAGCAGATCAGCTGCTGATTGGGTGGTTGGTGGTTCGATTCCTGGCTCCCCAGTCTGCATGCCAAATATCCTTGGGCAAGATACTAACCCCAATTGGCCCACCCTCCTCGATGCGTTCATCGGAGTGTGAATGTGTGTGAATGTTAATTAGTTGCACTTGAGTTTAGAAGTGCCTGTATGAGTGGGTGTGAATGGGTGAATGAGGCATGTTGTATACAGCGTTTTGAGTACTCCGGGAGAGTAGAGAGTAGAAAAGCGCTGTATAAGAATCAGTCCATTTACCATTTACCGCCTTGTCAGGCCAGGACTCTGCAGTCTATCCTACACCTACAGGCCAGTGGACACTCTTTCAAGGATGAGGATGTAACATCCTGGACAGGGAGGAACGCTGGTTTGAGGGCGGAGTCCAGGAGGCCATTTACGTGAAAAGGGAAAGACCATCTCTGAATCGAGGAGGGGCCTAAGGGTACATCTGTCATCAAATCAAATTCAAATTCAAATTTTATTTGTCACATACACAGTACGATATGCAGTGAAATGCTTAGACAACTGCTTGTGACCTAAAGAAAAATGAAAAGGCTATGAATAAGATAGGAAATAAATATGAAAATTTAAAAGGGTAAATTTAACTAGGAAGCAATAAAATAAAATAAAATATAAAAATTAAAGTCAAAAATGAAATAACTGTACAACACAAATTAGAATGAAGGGTAAATTTAACTGGGAAAGAATAAGATAAAATATATGAGTTAAAGTTGAAAATAAAATAACTGTACAACAAAATACACAATATACAGTATAGAAATATATAAGAATGTATGAAGAAATATAAATATATATATACAGTAACAGCAGCTGTACAAGTATTAAATGGAAATGAAGAAATATAATGTCCAGTGTTGTGCAATCCACATTTGTAAGCGTCGTACACCATCTTACATGCTGTGATTGCAGCCATTCCCCAACTCTCTGTGAATGGGACTCATGGATATTGATCAGTGGTCTTTGATCAATGATCAATGGTCTTCCTTACAGATGGACTTCTAATAGGATCAGTGCCTTTATCGTTACAAAACCTTTGAAGAGATCATATAGGACCATTAAAAACAAAGGACTCTGATGCTGAACTGGCTTTTCTACAGGCATTTCAAAGTTCCTGTTCTTGCCAGTCTTTTGGACCTCAAACAGCTCAAGACTTGATCATTTTGTTAAGACTTGACAAAGTGAGTCCAAGAAATACAGAGTTAGAATTAACACGTGTTGTGTAAAAAAGCTTTATATATCTTTACATACTTTGTCTGCATAGCTGCAATTTTCAAGTCTTCCACTGCCCACAAATATTACCTGTTGGGCTGATTAAGACCCAGTTTGCCTCTTATAGCACCAGGAATGCTCAGATGTATCCTCACTTTGTGAAAGGTTAGGATCTACTAATACTGATACAGGCAGATAGCCCTTTAACTCATGGGACTACCATCAATACCAGTGTGAAAACCCATGCCAACCCAACCAATTCCATTTGTGAGTGACTGGGAGAAAATCCAGAGAACAAGCCTCCATACTTAAGCTCTGGGTACAGAATACCACCACAAGTTGGAGGTGGAAATACACTGGCCTGCCACTTCATTAAATACTAACCAGGAGCAACCCATGAGCCAGTAGCCTTGGTAAAAGCCTTGAAATAAACAAAGCAAGTAAATGTCAAAACAGGGTGCTGGTTGAGCTCAGTTGGATAAGCAGGTGATCAAATGCTGCATGGCTGAGAGTGGCCAGCCCAGGTTTGAGTCCGACCCGTGGCCCGTTGCCATGTCTCCCCCCTCTGCTTTCCTGTCAGTCTTCACTCCACCTTTCTAATAAAGCTGTAAGAAGGGCGATTTTTGTTTGTATGCGGCATCAGTCCATAATTCCTTCAAAAAAAGAAACAATCAGGAGCCAAAATCAATTATCTAGAAAGACTTCTGTATTGTTTCATGCAAGCTGATGCAATGCATCATTTAATTTATTAAGCTCGTACATGATTATTTCTTGAAGTGTCATGTAATTTTATTTTTTCATCTGATGTTTAGTTTATGCTTAAAGAGTTACTGGCATGAACCTCTTCCCTTAATTTAATCTCAGTATAGCAGGTTAGTTATTTTTCTTGAATCAGTCGTACCACACAGTTTTTGTTATCATAGAAGTTGCTTATTACGATGAATGTAACTCCAAATTCTCAGTGTAATAGTTAACAAATTAAAATTAAATTCTAAAGTTTTATATCTCAGAACATGTAAAAAAAATAATGTGGTCTGTAGTAGGTCTTAACATTAGTTTAATACAAACTCAGATAAACTATAAAATGTGACATATTACACTGTGTTATTATTTATTTACTAAAGAAAATAAGCCAAAATGCAGAAGCAGTGTATAAAAAACCAAGCACACCATTACTACTTCCATGAAGATGTTAATCAAATGGTCATGATTAAATGATCATCAGCGAGTGTGCCCACCTCTATAAAGGCAGACATTTTTGGTCGTTTGCTCTGTGGGGTATTCCTTTGGGATTTAATGCAACACCAAGGTAGAAAGAGATCAATGTTAGAGGCTCATCAGTTCCAGGTTTCTTTCAATGTTTTTCTTTTGATTAGAAAAAACTGAAGAGGTATGGCTTGTTTGGTAGCATTGTCAGCCAAAAGCCTTGTATCCCTAAAACCTTAGCTTTGCAAAATGGCATCTGAGCAAGCCACAAGACTTCTGGGACGATGTTGGATATACAAGTCTAATGTGAATATGTTTGGCCAAATTGGTTTGTTTGGTGAAAGGAAAAAAACACAGTATTTCAGCACGAACATATCATACCAGTCCTCAATCCTGAGGTAAGAGTTTTGACTTAATTGCAGCCCCAACAACAGAGTAAGGAAGACATAATTAACGTTGTAAGAAAATAGATGGAGGGACATAATTAGGAAGGGAGAGATTGGGGTAAAATGAATGGCTACTTTGAACATGAACATTTCTTTAAAGTGTGGCTTTGAAGTTTTTAATAGTCACATTCAACATCCATCCAGTCTCATCCACTTATCCTTGTCAGGGTCGGGCTGGAGCCTATCCCAGCTGTCATAGGGCTGGACAGGTCGCCAGCCTGCCGCAGAGCTAACACAGACAACCATTCATACTCACATTCACACCTATGGACAGTTTAGAATTACCAGCTAACCTAACCCCAACTGCTAATCTTTGGACTGTGGGGGGAAGCCGGAGTACCTGGAGAAAACCCACGCGAACACGGGAGAACATGCAAACTCCAAACAGAAAAACCTGGGGGTGGAATCAAACTCAGGACCTTCTCACTAAATAGAAACAGTGCTAATCACCCCACCCACATGCAACATAACATAAACTGGGAGTGTCAGTAGCACAGGAAAAAGTCATGTGAAAAAAACTTTTCTTGAACCTCCTGTTCATCTGGACGTAGCGTTTTCAGTGGGAGAAACGTTTCATCCAGATGACTTCTTCAGTCTCAGCTGACTGCGGGATTCCAACCTTATATACAGTACATTTGCACAGTAACTGAAACTAGCACTGTTGAAGGAATAAACCTTTGAAACATTTTACTGCTCCAAAGGTATCAGTGATTATATATTACATGTATTTTCGCTCACAGTCCCTTTCTCCTGTCTGCTTGTATCTCTTTCAGATTCCAGACAGATGCAGTCATCACCATCATGGTCTTACGATCAATCGTATCCTTATCTTGGCCAGATAACTACACCCACTGTTCCCACGGCTAATTCTCTATCACCTGGTCGTTCTTCTCTCAGTGACCTGTCCTCTCGACTAACAGGTAACAAACCTATGCGTGGTGACACACGTAGGGAACACTGTGATTAAGTTGTAACAATCAACCTTTGTCTTCTTTCAGGCTCTGAGCTCACTGCCTTTGGTGACCCAAGGATGACCTTAGAACGGCCTTTCAGTTCCCTGCCCTCCTTGCCTGACTCACGTTTTTCTGATCCCCGGGTGCACTATCCTCCCACTGCAGCTGCCTTTACCTACACCCCATCCCACAATCCAGTCTCCAATGGTGCACTCGGTATCACAATGGCAACAGCCATGGCCACCACCCCTGCAGGGAGGTACCACACCTACCTGCCTCCACCCTATCCTGCAAATGCACCCCAAGCTCAGAACGGGCCCTTCCAGTCCACCTCCTCACCATATCTCTACTACTCCACTGCCGCTGGCTCCTACCAGTTCTCCATGATGACAAGCGGAGCAGGCAGCAGTGATTCACGCTCACCACCAAGGATCTTGCCACCATGCACCAATGCCTCCACAGGTTCTTCCCTCCTGCACCCCTCTTTACCCAGTCAGAACGAAGGGGTGGGTGCGGAGGTGGAGTCCAGTCACAGTAGCTCACCAACAAACATGGCTCCTGCTGAAGCTGTCTGGAGACCCTACTAAACGAGCAATGGCAGAAGTGAAGGGTGCACCCACCCACTTTGTCATGTGATGCACACACTGGCAAGGGTGGAACAAATAAAATGAAACGGTAACATCCGGTGGGTCTGCCTACTAATTAGCAAGCAATATTGAGTTTTAAGTTAAGCTGCATGTTAAGACCAGTTTATGTTAGAACTGGCTAATGTCGGTACCAAACATCACACAACTAGGAGCCAGAAGAGTACAGCCAGTAGGAAATACTGTCACATCAGGGTCTATCAAGATAGGATTGCTCTCTGTAGAGGAGAAACAACAAACTGAAGACACTGTGCTCGAGCAGGACTGGACTGATCTCAGCCAAGCATCCTTTGTTCAGTACCAGGACTTATTCGTCATAATGTGGTTGATGATGTGAATATATTATTTGCTCCTGACAAATGTTGTGATGAACTGTTTGTGTTTACTGTATCAGCATTCTTTCTCCCTTTTTTCTTTCTCAACTAAAGTTCAAGAAATATCATTTTAGACATGAAATAGTTCAAAGTTTTCCATTGTTTCCATTTCCAAAGTTCACTGTATTCCATTAGCTGTGTTCATCCAAGATGGTCTTCTCTGTTCTCCAAATCCACCACCATTTAATTTTGAACCAACAAACCATAGCACCAAAGATTGCACCATTGTAAAAGCATTGAATTTGTTCTCATGACACCTTTTTAGAGTTTATTTCATATTTGTTCCTGTCTGTGTGCATATGTGTGTTTGGGTGAGAGTCCATGTAATTGTGTGTCTGTGTGTCAAATTTTCCAGTAATCCACTACTGATTTGTACCATATATAGCAATGACTGTATATGACACCCTAAGATTGTTTTCATCACCCCTTCCTCTCTCTCATTGTCTCTCTCAAATAGACACACAGACTCAGAGAGACATACAAAGACACACACACACACACTTACGTCATAGTTTGCTATAACACTGTTGTGTATATTTCAATTAGACTGATGTAAATATAAAGAAAACACAACTGTTTCCTGGTCCTTTAATATGTTTTCATTGTTATTTGTCTCTTCATGAATAATCTGTCCTAAGACAAAACACACACACACAACACACACACGATCTTTTGCTGTTTCTGACCCTGAACCTGAAGTGCAACACCAACACACTTAAAAGTCGAGTGAGATACCTGACACCTGCAGCCTGGAATTTAATACCAAATGAGTAATATCGTTCCCAAATGTAAGAACAAGAGTTGGTACTCTCTAAGGTGTGTAGCATGATGTTTCCATCTTATGACGACAGGTATTGGTGCTTTCTTTTGAGTTTTGATATATGACACAGTATACACTATATTGTCAAAAGCATTTGCTTGTCGGACTTCACATACATATGATATCCCATTCTTAATTGATTAGGTTTTCCACAAGGTTTAGGAGTGTGCTTATAGGAATGTTTTAGCATTCTTCCAGGAGTGCATTTATGATGTGAGTCACTGATGAAGGACGAGAATGCTTGGCTTGCAATCTCCACTCTAACTCATTCCCAGGTCTATATGCAGGCCAGTCCAGTTCTTCCACTCCAAACCGCTTTGTGCACTGGTGTGCACTCCTGTTGGAACAAAGTTTGGTGCTTGAAATTGGAATACTTTGGTATCCTAAATTATTAAGAGTTCCTTTAACTGGAATTAAGGGTCCCAGCCCAAGTCCTGAATAGCTATCCAACACCATAATCCCCCCTCCACCAACCATTACACCTGGCACGGTGCAGTCAGACAACTAACTCCTGGCAACAAACCGAGACTTGCCCATTAGACTGCCAAATGGAGAGGCATGACTCTTCACTCCAGATACCACATCTTCACTGCTTTAGAGTTTAGTGGCAGCATGCTTTATTTTTATCCAACACTTTGTGTTGTGCTTGGTTATGTAAAGCTTAGATGTAGGTCCTCATTCATGGAAACCCTTCCGATTAAGCTCTTTGTTCTTGAGCTAATCTGAAGGCCACATGAAGCTTGGAGGTCTGTAGTAATTGACCCTTCAGAAAATTGAGTACTGAGCAGATGATCTATTGGACTTAGATCAGGCAAGCGTGGAGCCCAGTGCATTATATTATTTCCTCCATCCAAAAGGATGAACTACTGTTAATACATGAGGGAGGCCATTGTCATGCATTGTCAGAGGAAGTCAGAGCCCACTGCACCAGTGTAGTGTCTAATAATGTGTTAAGACAATTTAATCCCAGTATCTAATGGTGGTCAGGGTGCCATTGCCTAGCCTGTAGAGGTCTATGCAATCCATTCATTGATTTGTCTTCCCAGATCATTACTGGCACAGTACCCAAATGGTTATGTAGAACGATGATACAAACAACATAAATGACAATTGGACCTTCACACCACTGGCCTGCTGAAGGTCATTTTGTAAGGGATTGGCAGTGTTCATCCGGATACTGTTGCTGCTGACTGTTTAAAAAGTTTTTGTTCAACTGTCCAGAGTAGCTGTGTGTCTCCTAGAATCTCCTCCATGCTCCTGAGACTGTGCTGGGAGACACAGCAAACCCTCAGGCAATGGTAGAGTCCAGGTATCGCCTCATGCTACCCATAGTGACACTGAGCCTCGCCAAATCAAAACTAGTGGAAAAAACTCTGAAAAGATGAGGATAGAGTCAGCCAATTGTTTCACCCTTATTAACACCCCCCACACAACTGACCAGATGAGTATCCCAGAAATGTAATACTGTACTCTGATCCAGGTGCTCCATTTTTTGAGCTCTGTATGACTGATGACAGATTAACAAGGAGCTGGATTCTCATAAAGTCTCAGTGATCATCATGACAGGGAAACAGGAGCTACAGTGAGAAAAAAAACCTGAGACTATTTGTTTCGCTGTTTATGATTTTCCTTCAATAGTCTGAACAAACTCGTTAAAAATTTAAACTTGTATTTTGAAATTTTCATTTGTAAAATTTCTCACACAAATTTGAAATTACAGTTACAGTTTAAATCTCCAAACCTGTATTCACATTTTATTCATGTTTATTTATTATTTTAATATTTACAAACACAGCTCTTTTACTTTTTTCCTTGTATTGACTGCATAACATACGTGATATTGTCTGATTGGTCCTGTCTGATCTTCACTGTACTAACCATGGTTCTCGCTGTTCCCCTGAATCTCCAGTGTCACCCACCATGGTCATGACCCAACCTAAACGCCACTGACACTTTCATCATGCTTCATGACCAAGCACCTACCTACTTAACTCCCTGCATTTCACCTGTTCAGCCTGCGCTGTCCTGCTGCCCTTCTTTCATCTCCAGAGGCCAGTTTTAATATATACATCAATGTAAATATATCCCTTTGATTTATTTGGGTCCACGTGTTGTCAAATACAATGATAATATAAGCGCATTAGTGTTTTAGAGATTCTAACTAACCCTCCATCTCAAATTAAACATCTGAGTTCAGAGGGAACTGCCACAGATACCAACTACAAATACAGGAGACTCCTGAATCTAAATAACTACAGATCCACTTAAACATTTATTTATATCACGATTTTCAGAAATACCTTAAATGTGTTCAATATTCCTTAACAGCATATATCAAATCTTCAGGCTCTGACATCCATCTGAAGCACTGCGCTGGTTTCTGCATTAATGCCTTGTGACTGAACAAAAAAAGAATCACTCTTAGACACGCATTTGTCTACTTTTAATACAATATAATGAATAACACATTGAACAAAAACAGTAAACCCTTAGTATTAGTCAAACTTTACATTAGAAGTTGACTTTTTTTAAGTAACTAGTTAACATCTGTTGCTCTTAAAGCCTGTTGAGTTCAGGGATTTATTATACAAGTGTGAGTATGAACTTGGTATAGTTTCCTTTTGGAATAATAACCATGGGCGAATCAAAATGAAAGTACTGAGGAAAACTCTGGTCTGTGTACTCTGGTGATGCCTGAGTGAAAGTGTGATAGTCCTGTAGTTTTTTGTCAGGGGTGAACTAACAGTTCTGTTTTACTGCCAACAGTGGGACAAACTAATACTGCTGGATTGGCATCTTATTTTCATGTACTGGACATTTAAAATATGTTCTATTAAAAGTCTCTTTAGATATAAAATATGCTGTGAAAGAGGATCCTCTGCACTCCCATGGAAATCTTACATATTCATACTCTTTTAAGCTTTAAAAAATATTTTTAAATAGATCTTTTTCTATATATTAATATATTTAGTATGGGATCTCCTCTTTGGAGACCTTTACTTACTTGTACTTAGGTCCTCCTGTGCTGTTCAGCGCATTGGGCGGCAAGTGTCCACCAACCTACTCGATCGGCTGCTTCGGCCTCATCCCATGCAATATCTATGGTGCATAAGTCATCGATGAAGGTCCTCCGCCATGTTGTATGGGGGCGGCCTGGTTTGCGTCTTCCATGGGGTGGGTTCCATGTGATGGCAATCTTGGGCAGTTGATGTGGGGGTTGACGTAGAACATGACCTCCAAACCGCACACGCCACTCAGTCTCAATGTCCTGGAGGGGACGTGTGGCAGTTCGATGGTGTACTTATTCGTTGGTGACATGGTCCCGGTAGGAGACCCCCAGAATATGTCTTAGCCATTGCTGCTGGGCCACATGGAGTCTTTTTGCAATTCTGGCTGATGTTTTCCACGTCTCACAAGTGTAGATTGCAGTAGGTATAACGATGGAGTTGACCACGATCTTTGGGGTCGACCAGATTGGCCGGAGCTGCTGAAAGACCGCACCTGCTTTAACAATTCGACACACAACGTCATGCTCAGCATCTCCATCACTTGCCAGGATGCTGCCCAGGTAGGTGAATTGATTCACCTCCTCCAGTGGTTGCAGTCCTACCGTAATGGGGTCCTGTTTCGTCACGTAACCAGTCCTCATGACCTTGGTTTTGTTTCCACTGATCCATAAGCTCACTTTGGCTGCCTCTTGCTCCAAGCATGATGTCATAGTAGTCATGATTTTCCGGACGTCAGCCAACAAAGCGATGTCGTCTGCAAAGTCGAGGTCCTTGAGGCATGTTGGTGGATGCCAAGGTATCCCAAAGCCATCTTGGTCCATGGCCCTCTGCATAACAAAGTCAATGGCAAGAAGGATGAGGAAGGGAGAGAGGATACCCCCTTGCCTCACACCGGTCTCAATGGTGAAGAAATCCGTGTAGCCATCCTCTGTGTGGATGCAGCAACTGGACCAATAATTGTGATAATCTGCAGGGAAAAATGTTGTGCAGCTTATTTCTTCGCTTAACAGCACTTACACATAAAGAGGAAGTCTTTAGCCAGCTAGGAGCTACATTTCATTTGAACATATCAAATCACCAGGTCTATGTTATCATCCATCAAGCTTTTGTCCTCCACTGGGATCAAAACTACCAAATATTTAACAATATTTTTAACTGGGATATTTCTGTATCAGCAATGTCTTTTAAAGCAAGAATGTCAAAATTATTTAAATTAAGGTCTAAGCCTGATGTTAATAACAGATCAGACTTTGAGATTTCATTTGTGTCATTGTGACACATTGAGGGGCAGGGATAGCTCAGTAGGTAGAGTGGTTGCCCCATGATCGGAAGGTCGGGGGTTTGACTCCACTGAACGGCTCCCCTGAGGTACCCCTGAGCAACGTACACATTATTATTATTGTGTTTGAGAGAGTGGAAAAGCACCATTCATATCAGTCCATTTGCCATTAATACAATCACTTTTTTCTTATACTTATGTGCTTTTTATCTAACAGTCACACACATTCGTACTCAAATGGATGCATCAGAGAGCAGCTTGGGGTTATTTATGCAGACGGGGATCAAACCACTAAAGTGACCCACTCTACCTCCTGTGCTACAGTCACCCCAGAGACAGTGACTTGTGTATATTTAAAGATAATGCAACTAAACTTATGGTAGATTATTGAAAGGTTCAGAATTTGGCTTACCGTTAAGAAGAGATGGGACGGCCATAACGAAATTCCCCTCTTAATCTGAGTGATGGCA